GACCAGATGCGTCACTGTTCGGCCACGAGGACGCCTCGCAGAGTCCATATTACTTGCAAATTAAACTTTTCATGCCCACTTTTCCTCGTTCTCCAAGTGACTCGGGTTTAAAACTTCAGTCAACTTTTTCTCTTCTTACTCAAAACAGACGGGACTTCAAAAAGTTCATGGAAAAAGGGGGGGCGGGCAGGTAGAATTGAATGAAAAATTAAAGACACTTTACTAAAGTTTTGTAATCAAAAGCTTTTTCAAAACACTTCCATAATAAGCAGATGGTATTGTTCTTTGGCCCTTCTGAAAGTCAGCAAACAAAATGCCTTGCTGACCTTCCCAAAGAAACTGTTGGCATGCCCTTGGCTGTGGGCCAGTCTGCTTTTGCTTTGGGTGGTCCACTTCCACCTCTGGAAACCATTGCTTAGTTTCTGCTTTGTCTCCAGGGCCCTCTCAGTAAAGCCATGTTTCTTCTGTTACAAATCCTTCCAAGAAGGCTTTAGGATCTTGAACCAACATTTAAAATTTCCCTGGGAAACTCTGCACGTCTGTAGCTGATGTGAGAGCAAGAGTTCTGGCAGCCATCAAGCAGAAAGTTTACTCAACTTTATAACTGTTCACTCAGAATTGTATAAGCTGAAACAACTGCGGTATCATTAGTGCTGCCGATTGTTTCTGCTGTTATTGTTGGTCCTCTTCACGGAGGGCAGGAACAGGATGGTTTCCTCACAAATGGATGTGGTTGCTGCTGTCATCTTCAATATCGTCTCATTCCTTCTTACAATGAATCATCCACATGTAAGCTGCTGCTTTCTTTGGGGCACTGCACTCATACTGAGTCAATGATTTTTCCCCCCACTATTCTTCTATTCACACTGCATTATAACTTTGGTTTGTTTTTGCTTCAATGTTAGCAGGATCATATTGTTCTTTTCAAACTGGTTTATTATCCTGCTAATGCGTCAAACTGGGCCCTGCTCCGACGTGCTCTAATGAATCCGGATGATGAAATCACTGATGCTGTATGGAAAGTGGCCCTGAGAAAACACCAGTTTATAAACTGATCACTCAAGAAAAAACAAGATGACAGTGAAGATGAAGCCCATGGCACCAGACCATCCATATCAATTTGATAGCAAACAATTAATCGTCATGCCCTAATTGAGGAGGTCCAACGCTTGCCGTAAACAATTGCCAAGGCCACAGACTTCCCAATTGGTTCAACTTACACAATTCTCACTGAAAAATTACAATTGGATAAACTTTTTTGCTCAACGGGAGCGAAAGCCATTGTTCCTAGATCAGCTGCAGACAAGAGCAAAGCTTTCCATGGAAATTTGAACGAAGTGGGACCAAGATCCTGAAGCAAGAATGCTTCCAAGAATTGTAACAGGAGGAGAAACACCGCTTTACTTGTACATCCTGAAGATACTGCACAAAGCAATTGCAACCAGGAGGTGGAAGGGGTCCAGTCAAAACAAAAACTGGTCAAGAGCAAAGGGCACGGATGTAGAGGCATTTTGCTTGTTGATGTTCTGAAGAGTAACATCCACTTATTAGGAGAGTGTTTTTGAAAAAGTTTCAGCTTCAGCAAAAAAACACCCAGGAAAGTGTTACAAGAGCCCTTCTCCACCAAGCCAATGCTCCTGCTCATTCCTCCCATCAAACAAGGGCAGTTTGTGAGTTTCCCTGGGAACTCATTAGCCATGTGCCTTACAGTACCGATTTGGCTCCTGACTTTTTGATAAGGAGCTCTGTTGGTGCTGTGGATAAGGCATCGGACTGCTAGCCAAAAGGTGGTTCAATCCCACCAGCTGCTCCACGGGAGAAAGTTCAGGCTGCATGTTTTCATAAAGATGCAGTTTTGGAAGCCGTATATACGGTCACTGTAAGTCCCAACTGACCTGATGACAGTAGGCTTGGTTTGAGGCTTTTAAAATTTTTCCAATCTTAGAAAATTTTTAAGTCTCAAAGGCTTGATGGTAAAGCAACAAAGCCCACATGGAAGAAGCACACTAGCCTGTGCAATCACGGTGTCCAAGGGATCAGGCATCATCAGAACAAAAAATCATGTCATAGCGAATGAGGGGGGCAAGTGTGGGGTGGAGACCCAAAGCCCATTTATAGGCCCCTGGAGATCCCCTTACAGAAAGGTATTGGGGAGGAGATGAACCAGTCGGTGCTATGTAGCAACGATGAAAAATACAACTTTCCTCTAGTTCCTAAATGCTCCCCCCCACCCCATCACCATCATGATCCGAATTCTACCTTGCAAGTCTGGCTAGACCAGAGGATGTACACTGGTACAGATAGGAA